ATAGCAGATTTACTCATATTTGATCCAAACTGAAAACCACCCAAATGTTCATGAACTGGTAACTAGATAAACTATACTTCTTGCTTACAATGGACTACTACTTGGCATAAAAAAGGAATAAATGACATATATACAGCAACATGGATGAATCTCAAATTAATTATGTTAAGTGAAAGGAGCCAGACTCAACAGGTTACATACCGTATGATTCCTTGTTTTTGACATGCTGGAAATGGCCAAACTAGAAGGGTAGAATACAGATCAGTGGTTCGTTGGAGTGAGGTTAAAAAGGAATATGGGGGGCCGAAGATTTCGCTCAGTGGCACTGTGCCTGCCTTGCAAGTGCAAAGTCCTGAGTTTGATCACCGGTACCAAAAAAAGAGGAACAAGAGATGTCAGCGGTGGAACTTATTGTGGTAGTGGTGTTTGCATGATTGTATGATTATATGCATTTGTCAAAATTCATAGAACTGTTCACTTAAAAGGAGTAAATTTTATCATACATAGTTTTTACTTTAATAAACCCAACAAAACAACTCAGTGTGGTAATCTGAAGATAAACAAGAGCTTAAAATACATTAATTGTTTCTTTGTATACCTAAAGATACAAATGAAAGTAAAGTAATGGAACTATCCCCCGGATAGAGACAGGTTAGTTTCATTGTTATCCGTTATGGCTTATATCTAGATGTTCCCCCAAAGCCTCATGTGGTCATAGGTGGGGCTTTTCAGAGGTGGTTGGATCTAGGGTGTGTGATGCTGAGATCAAGGATGTGATGTTGGGATTGCTTCACAGTGGGATGCTAGGATTAAGGGTGTGGCTTACTAAATTAGTCCACTGATTGGTTTGGCATACGTCTGGGTGTGAGTGCTACCTGCCTAGATAGAATATAAAGGGGCAGAAAGAAGCTGCTATTGTCACTTTTCAATTGCTGCTTCTGTTTCTGTTGATGCTGCTTATCTTCTGCTGCCTCCTGCCTGCCCTGCGATGCCCCTCTGCCATGTCACCTTGCCTTGGAGCCAGCCAACTATGGACTAAAACCTCTATGAACTGTGAGCCAAAATAAACCTTTCCTCTTTAACTTTGGGTGTTGTGTATTTTCATTTTTAGGGAGCTTCTCCATGATGTTTTCTTCATGAACATGTGTAAGGTCAGTGAATATAGCCTTAAAGGATTAAAAGATGAAAGGTTAGAAACTTCTTTACTAAACTAGAAGGAAATTCTAAAAATTGCTAGTTTTAAGGTTATTAAACTTCTTTATTTTGCTATGGAAATAATTTTCCACATGTAGATGGAGTGAGGAAATGATGACCTATGGGAATGTTACAGTTTGAATCTTAAATGTCCTCAAAGGCCCATGTGCTAAAAGCTTGGTTGCCTTCTGGTGGCACTATTGGAAGGTGGTAGAACCTCTAAGACAATTATGGTGAACCTTTTAGAACTTTAAATGATAACAAACAGCCCGCTGTGGCATGCATGCCATAGGTTCACCACCACTGCTCTAAGAGGTGGTACTAAGTTGGAGGCAGTGAAGTCACTGGGGTGTGCCCTTGAAGGAGATATTGGGATCCCAGCCCCTTCCTTCTTTGTTTCCTGGCTGCCATGAGGTGACCAGCTTTTCTCTCCCATGTGTTCCCCAACATGATTCTGTGCCTCACCACAGGCCCAAAAGGAATAGAGCTAAGCAGCCATATACCCAAATTTCTGAAACCATGAGCCAAATGAATCTTTCCTCCTCTGTATAAGTTAATTTATCTCAGACATTTTTTACAGTGATGAAAGTTGATAATAAGAGGCCATTTTCCTTCTCCTTGACTGTCATGTGAGATCATGATTGCCTAAGTGGATGGAATAGATTGAGCATGTTTTAAAATCAGAATTCCTAGTGGTAGGATTCAAAGGAGCAAGTTATGATAGTTTATTAACATGACAGATATAGTAGAAATATGATTCTTAAGTAACACATAACTTAAAGCTATATTCAAGATGAGTTGCCACAAAGATAGCACGTACTGGCCTAGCAATCAGTAAAAATTAAAACCACAACACATGCCACAAATTCAGTACCTCTATGTTCCAAAGGGGCATTGCACACACCCCAGGTGTCATTTCTCACCACTCTTTTCTTGATGCAAGAATCCCATATAACCCAGAGCTCCTACAAGGACCATGCCAGGTCTTTCTCTAGATTTTTGGTCATCATTCCTTCCTTCAATAAACACATTTTTGATTATGATCATTTTGTTATGGATTATTCTATGTCTCCCTCAAATCCATATATTGAAGTCCTATTTCTCTGCACCACAGAATGTGATGTTATTTGGAAAACAAAAAAAGATCATTGCAGATATAATTAGCTAAGATGAGATCATACTGGAGTAGGGTAGACTCCTAGTCCTATATGGGCAATGTCTTTACTTTTTATTTTTTTGATACTGGGGATCGAACTCGGGTCCTTGCACTTGCAAGGCAGGCAGCACAACCACTGAGCTAAATCCCCGGCCCAGCAATGTTCTTACAAAAGCAGAAATTTGAACATATATACTCAGAGAAAACATTCTGTGAAAATGAGACCAGAGAGCAAGGATATGTGACTACAAGGAAGGCCAAAGGTTGACTGAAGCCCACCAGAAGCTGGGAAAAAAGCAAAGAACAGATTCTTCCTTACAGCTTCCAAAGGAACCAGCTCTGCCAACAACCAGATCTTGATCTTGTTTTCAGACTTGTGAACCAAACCAAGCCAAATCAAATGATGAAAATAAAAATAAGCAAAAAAAAAACTATCTGAAAGTACATTTTCAGGAGGTTCTACACATGAATGAGATGCTCCATCAGCAGAATCACTCCTTCAGAAGGCTGAGTTTTTTTTTTCTCCAGTATTGGGGAATCAAACTCAGGGCCTTACACTCATGGCACCACTGAGCTAAATAGCTGGCCCTCTGAGTTTTCTTAATATTGCCTTTTGTGGACTGGGGGGGACTGGGTATGGCTCTGCACCTCCCTGTGCTGATGCCCCAGGGTGCATTTCCCCGACTGAACAGCACCTATTCACCTCCTCCAACTTCTTTTAGATTTCAATCTTCAACAGCCTTAAAAGTTTTGCCTACTCTTTTTTTTTTTGCTTAAATTCTTTTATTGGTACATTTTAGGTATACAATACGTTTACATTTCTCATTGGTTGCTTGAACCTGTACATGATGTATCTTGGTTCTTCTTTTTTCCCCATTACTTGTGCACCCTTCACCCCCTCCACCCTTCCCTATTTACACAGATTTCCTTTCCATTTTTTTTCTTTTCTCATAATTTTTCCTTTCCCTTCTTCCTTTCCCCTTCCCTTCCCATCACCCCTACACCTTTAGACCTTTTCCTATTTCAAATTATCAGTTATTCATTTTAATCATTTTAATCCTTATTTACACTTTCAGTTTCTCATGCTAGAGAAACTATTCGGTATTTACACGTGTGTCCTATTTATTTCACTTAAAGCAATTGGAATAATGTTTTCTGGAGGAAAAAAGAGCCTAGACCCTGAAGGGTGATGGTAGCTTGCAGGCTAAGTCTGTTGTCATATTCTTTGGAGAAATCTACAGACTCTCATCCTGGCAAGGGCTCCCCTCATATCCCTTATTGGGGCATATGGACAACCTCAGGAGCCTCACACAGCAGCTGTTACATTAATTTCCAAGTGCAGGGACCTGAGCAGTGGATTGTAATGACATTTTCCTGGCTGGCTCTGACCTCTGAATCTCACTGATTAGTCTAACACATACTGTGAACATCTACCAGTTAGGACTCAGAGCCAAGACTCAAAAATTGCTTTAAAATGGCAAGAGATGTTTAAGACATAATTTCTGTGACCTAACCATTAACTTGCTCACTTCCCAATTTGTGATTCTTTTTTATATCTTTTACTTTCAATTATTTTCCCTGTTTGGCTTATGTTTCTGTGGTAGTTATTCCTAATCACTAAAACATTTTTTGTAGGCAGTTCATGCTCCTGGTCTTAGAGAGCAGCCAATATGGATAGGCAAGATTTAAAAAATATCCTACTCAGTATATATTTTAGCTTCCTATCATCTTACTTATATTTCTCTTACTTAAACAAAAGCAATCCTTTTCATAAAATATTGGTGGGATTTGTATATTCAGAGGGGTAATTTAAAGAATACCCATGTTTGACGATGGTGTTCTATTATTGTGAGATAAATCAAAGGTCCAGACACTTTAAGAATATCATGTATCAACTGATGTTTTCAGATATGAATCCAGCTATGAATCTTTGAGTCTCTTCCCCCTCTACGAACACTCAGGTTTTCCTCTCTCCTCATCCTCTTATTACCCACTTGCATGTTCATTTTTCCCATTCCAAATACCACAGCTTCATCTCTTTTTTAAAAATAATTTCTGTAAATAACACAGCTTTAGATTTAGTATGCCAGGGTGGCATTCTTCAACAAAAGCACAGTGGTTGCCCCATTTCTGAGGTTGCTTGGTCCTGACTCTGGGGCTTCATCCATTCTATCAACAAACATTTCTTACATCTAACTAGACACTAAGTGTAATCCAGAAGTGGAAGCAATATGACTTATATTTACACTGATCTTGAAAACAAAACAAACTGCTTTTGTAAAAGTCAGCTGTCATGCTTCAAACTTAACATTTTTATGATTATAAAACACTTGTGCTGTGATAAGTGAGGATTTGCTGACCATGTGCCATGAGGTTTTTTCATACATGACCTTTTAACCTCCAAAATTCTCTCGTTTTATTTCCTATCTCCAGGCTGTATTTTTGTAACATTTATTTAGCTTGACTGTTCTCCAGATTCTCCTCCTCTACAGTCACAAGCATTTTCCTTTTCCATGAACTTAGTGCTTTGGTTATCATTTCTTCTTCACCCTTTCTGGCAAATGGCTGTCATTTTACTTCCACTGAATACACATATCACTTTCTTTGGCTCAAAAATACCCACATACTATCTCCACACATGGGCTGGTACCTGCTGCATGCCTTGCATGGTTTGCTGCAGGAACTGGAGTTGCTGGTCCTTGGTGAGGTTTTCTTCTGTTCTGAAAAGCTGTTCTTTTTCCTGCTTCAGCAACTCCACCTCATTCCTGTAGGCATCCAGTTGCCAGCGGAGACTGTCATTCTCTTCTTTAAGAGCATAGGCCTGAGCAGCCAGAGCTGAAGGACAAAAGAGAGAATCCAAGTGAGTGACCTTGGTTAGAATGAGGAGGCATCTGGTGGGAAATGGAATCTCTTACCTCCATGCATAACATTCATTTCAACTCAGAAGTAAAATGCCCTACCTTGAGGCTCTTTATTTTGCAGTGCATTACATCATTTAGAACTGTTTGTTTTGTAGTGCTGGGGATAGAACCTTGCTAGTTGAGTGCTCTACCACTGAGCCTGTCATCAGCCCCACTTCTGGACTTCTCTACTCTATTTGAATGCTTGTTGTGGAGACAGGATTAACTCCTTCCAAATTCTTATCTCCTGACCTTTCCCCCAACTCTAGATACCTTCATCCAAACTGATCTGTGCTGCTGGGGGATGAAGATATTCAGAATTCCAGGCAACAATCAAATCTATCACAATACAGTCCCCTCTTATTCTCAGGATTGCTTAGCTCTTTGGAGTGACACTTTCTTTCAAATAATCAGCTGTTCCACAGGTTGAGGCATGCAGCAGCCTCCCAGGGAAGAAAGGAATTTATATGCACACCATTCCTTCCTGCTCTATTGCTGGGACAAATTGCACAAATTGTTTTCTCTAACTCCTATCCGAATGGCAACCCGATTCCATCTGTTTCACCAACAGATTAAAACTCCTTTTCCCTACAAGGTTGAGTGGCTACTCTACTCCTCCCTGAAACCTGAAATTCTCTCGGGGTAGATCAGTCTTCATTTATGTCTCCATCTTGCTGGGAAACCAGTTCATACAGGGTCTTACACATCTCAAGACTTCAGAAACTAAAGGAACTGAATAAAAGATAAGATTGAATCGTACAAAGCAAAGACTGAGGAGGGAATCCCTTTCCATAGCTTCTACTTTCAGGCTTTCTAGTCTCCCCAGGACTACCACTAGCACTATCACTACTACTAATGGCTAGCTGGATACTCACAAAGCACCAAGCACTGGACCAAGAGCATTTTCTAAACTGACACACTGAACTTCCCAACAAATTTAGGATGCAGGTGCTTTAATCCCCATTTTCACAGATGAGAGAAATCAAGCACAAAGAATGTAGATCTCTTGTTCAAGCACATAAAGTAAGCAGCAGAAGCAGCTTGCAAAGCCAGGGCCTCAACCACTACACCAGGTCAGTTGCAGTGTGTTCGTTTTTATCAACTATTCAAAACTGATCTCTCATTCTCCTCTCTCCTCTGCCATGTGTCCCATCGTTTTTTTTCCCCTCTCAGAAAAGTCATTCTTCATATTTGTAAGCAAGAGAAAAGTGAAAGAAAATTTGAAAAGCTTCTACTAGAGGTTTCTTCATAGATGTAAGGAAGTCCACTATGTATCAGGCTCTGAACACATGCTCATTTCAATGCCTGCCCCTGCTTACCACATCCTAGGGTCAAGTGGAGGTTATGCTTTCTGATGCTTTACCTGCACACTGTGGTATGGTCATCACAGAGCTGTGCTGAGATGCTCAGAGCTCAGGGAATTTGCTCCACAAATATCAAACGTCAAATTATGTTAATAATAGTTTTAAGTTAAGTGTTTCATGATTTTCCACTTTGCAAAATGATAATCTATGTATGGTACAGCCTGAAATACTAATCAAACAGAACACGCTATTAACAAAAATATTCCCTACCTCAAGCCATTTGGGATCAATTACTCAACAAGCATTTATTGTATAGTTCCCTGGGCCAAGGTCTGTCTGGGCATCCTGGATCACAAAATGAGGAAACATAGTATGCCATTTCTCTCAAGGAACTTAAAAACAAATACTTCCCCAAATTACATATTTTGTTGTTTAAAAAAATATTACAATATATGTTCTAATTTGTTTTATTTACACTAATAGTTTATCTTAGTTCACTGAAAATAGTTTGTGTTATTATCTGTTTCTTTTTCGTAAGAAATTTCTGTTTTATGTGTTGATGAAAATTTGTTTCATTTTTCATTTAAAAAGATTTTAGAAATCTAATAGAAATTGACACATTTAAAAGGAAACTGGGGCCGGGGATTTAGCTCAGTGGTTCCGCCACCTGCTTTGCAAGTGCAAGGACCCCAGTTCGATCCCTGGTACCAAAAAAAAGGAAACTATTCAGAGGAAGAAAGAACACAATGCCTGGCACAGAGTAGGTATTCAATAAATGTTTGAATGAATAAATGAGCAAGCTAGTGTTAACGTACATGAAAAGGGAATGCATTCTATAAGAGTTTTTAGCAGAAAAAAATGCAGACAGGAAGAGAAAAAAAGTGTTTTGAAACATGAAGACCCCAAGAACTGCAGAAGAATGCCTCAGTTAGGAAGAAGATCACAAGCAGAAGCCAAGAAATGACTATTATAGGCGAAATATTCAGGGCAGGGAGGAAAGAAACGACCACAAGGCAAGTGTTTTCCTGAAAGCAGTGAAAGGTGAGCCAGGCCAGAGGCTGAGGGACGATGGGGAAGGAGAGGCTAAGTGGTGCAACCAAGAACCACTGACGGTGCTTGGGGAAGCGGAAGGACACGACGAAACCGGTGATTGAGAAAGATTAGTTTGGCAATGGTGCGTGGAATGAACTGGAGGCTGAAGAGAATGAATAAAGGAAATTTTGTTTGGTGTATATGTGTGTGCAAAACCAAGGAGCAGCCAATTTTACAGTTTTCAGGAACTTTTAAATTGGAAGTGACCCAGGGCAGACCCAGGGGCATGAGCTGGTGCTTTTTAACACCGTGCAGCCCAACTCCAATCTTGCCCACACCCCAAGATACCAACTTCTGACATCTCCATTCACCAATCCACAGGGAAATGGTTATGAGGCATCATTTGAAAGACGGATGTTGTAATAGACAAAATCACAGAAAATGCAAATGATGAAAAAAGTGTTGGCACTACACAAGCACATTACTACATTTAGTAGCATTCAAAGACACTTAAGTCATTTCCTTAGGAAGCTCTATTTGGCCCCTTTTCAATTCAGAGTGGCATTTTTATTATCATAACTGATAGCAGGTGTTTGTGAAGAAATCGATTAGTATGCAGGGATGGAAATTACATTTTCCAAATGAATTGCATAGTCTGCAAGATATGCTGAAATCTGCGTAGCAAAATGCAAGCAGCTATAAAGTATGTGCCAGCAACGTTATTTAAATAAATTATCTAAACATAAATACATATAGGAGAGTGCACCATCCATTATTTTAGGGGCTCTTTTATATACTCATAGAATGGTACTACTGAGAGTTCTCATTCTTGTCTAAGCCAAATGACCACTGTGCTTGCCAAGCAGGATATAATGGTGTTTGCACTCCTGGAATAGGAATGTGATATCACTATATGACAGAAAGAGGGGTAGGGGAGAAAGAATGAGAGTGAATGAGAATAAGAATTCTCTCTGCCAAAGAAAATCAATACCATAGCCAATCTCATCATCATTTTTATAATTGGGGCATATAACTGATTTACATTCTTGATTAAATAATTTCAAGCTTGATATTGACAAAAAACTTGGTCATTCATGTGGCAGCAAAGTGGTTATCTTCTAAAGGGTGAGAAATTGTATATTGACTCCACTTAACTTTGGGCCACCTGTTTGTAAATACTGTAAATACTATTCAGCATCATGCTGCTGCCCTGAACACCCTCCTCACAAGGCCACCTGGAAAAAGCTATGTTATGTTTCCCAGATGAAATAGCTAAAAGAAACAAAATCCTAAAATGTTTGACCTTATGCGATTTCTGTAGGTGTTAAAATCCAGAAATTTGAAATATCCTTTCTCTTTAGTTCTTTCTAGGATACTGTATTAAACAGCTTTGATAAATGTGTCATCAAGTTTCCATGATAAAAGCTACTCTTAAGAGATTAAACAAAGAAATCCAATATTCAAATAAGTATAAGGATTGAAAAAAAAGTACAGCATGAATCTTTGGGTAAGAATTTCCACGGAGTGCACTGTGTGCCAATAAAAGGAATGTTTAGCTAAGAGACATCTCATATGGATTACCAATTTTCAACTTGAAAAGAAATACAACAAGACCTCCCAAATGTAAACTATATTGAACATAATTAAATGTCTGGTAATTTTGAAAGCACTGATGAATCCAGTGGTGCCTTTAGATTATTATCAATTAATTCAACCACTTATGGAGAAACCATGAGAGGAGCTATAGCATATTAACAGAGTGGAGGCCAAGGCAGCCATGCAGTTATACTTGCTCAGTACTTTAAAAACATTTTGGATATTGGAATTTTCTGACTAAATCAAAAGTGAAATAAAAACACTGAAATTTTTGCTAACAAAATTAAGGCACACAAAAATTAACTAGGAAACTACCACAGTGACACTAATATATGAAAGTTAATGCAGAGATTAAGTTACACTAATGAAGAAAAGGTTTAAAGATATTACATAGCACCTTGTTATGTTCTTTCCTAGATTCTATATAAACTTATTCTTTATATTAATTATGGTCAAAATGACCTTCTCCTTCATCTCCTGTAGTACTTTCTGTGTTTCCATGGGAACAGATAATGACATGTTTAACTTCTTTGAGTAAATAATCTAGTGAAAGCCTCGAAATATCTCTCTTACCAGCCTGAGCCAGCCTCGAAAAATAATTAGTAAAATATGAAAACTGTAAGTTATTTTGGGTTATATCCCAGTAATCTGACAGTATGTTAATATCTTTTCCATGCTCAGGCAAGATGTAACTAAATAATAAAATGCTTTAACATATTGTTGTTAGCAATATCTGGATTTCTCCAGAACTCCAGTTAGTCATTGTAGCTTTGATGAATGTGGTGTTTAACATTTTCCCTCTACTTTTCAAGTTGTTCTTCTGGAATACTGGGAAGGGCTTGCTGGACTCTATATTTCCTACTGTATATTTCCTACAAAGGAAGTCTTTTTTAAAAGATTTCACTGGTTGATGCCCAGGCAGGCAATTGTACTGACTGGTCCAGAACAGAGGGCAATGGGGACAGGTTCAAGGCCTAGAAGTCATCACCACATATCTGTGTCT